TTGCTCCGGATGGCCCTGGGGGCACTGACTGGGTGGGGATTCACCAGGACCCCCAGCCATGGGCTGTCCACCCCACAGACACCTGGAACAGCTACAGTCAAGCTCTGCAGGGCTCTGGCAGGACCCTGCTCCCCACTCAGACCAACCTTGTGGATCAAGTGTGGGGTGACCAGAGACCCCCCAATGCCTCCGGAAAGATCTACAGCCTTCCAGAAGCGTTCACTGGTATGGCCCTGTCCTTCTGAGGCCACTGGAAGGTGCTGGCCCAGGGCTGCCCCCAGCCCTGGGTGCTGTGGGGGTCCCTGAGCCCAGGCAGCCACTTGCTGCCCTCTCAGGGAGCAGCTGGCAGGAGAAGGTGTCCGGGATCCGGCGGCAGATGGAGCAGCACACGCGGCGCCCCACGGCCGTGCTGCTGGCGGGGCTGGAGGAGACGGCCTGTGGGTACCATGGGGCCTGGGGGAGACCAGGGGATGCTGTGGTGGGTGCCATGGGCTCCGAGGCCAGGGGTGGGAGTGCAGCCAGCAGGTTTGGGCTCAGAGGTCTCATTCCCCACAGGGCTCTTCAACCTCCGCGGGAATGACATCCCCTACAACCCTGTCTTCTATTCCTACACCCTGCTGACCAGCACTGACATAAGGTGAGCAGCACCTCTCTGCAGGGAAGGGGGCACGGAGGGGGGGTCGGCACCCACCCCCTTCCCTTCCAGGGCCAGCACCCACAGGACCCTCCTCTGGCCCCACTGCCCCCTTCCCCAGAGCTTGCCATGTCCTGCAGTGCCCAGCCCCATTCTGTGTCCCCTCCAAGCCCTGCACCTCTCCCAGGTCCAGCTCCTTCCTAGCCCATCCTGAGGTGCACCCTTCCTCCAAGCCCAGCCTAACACTGACCCCTATTCCCATCCTGCATCCCCTCTGGCCCCCTCCTCTCCACCGATGTGACCCACACAGCTGGGCAGAGCGGGGGGACCAATCTGGCTCTGTCCATCCCATCCCATGCCCTTCCCCAGCCTCTTCCTGGACGACTGGCGCCTGTCTCCAGAGGCACGGCAGTCCCTGCGGGCACAGTGCCCGGGGCTGCTGTGTGTGGAGCTGCTGCCCTGCAGGCAGGCACAAGCCCACCTCACCCGCTACGTCCAGGGCAACGTCACGGTCTGGGTGGGCACTGAGTACACCACGTATGGGCTCTACAGCACCATCCCCCAGGTGGGTCATCGCCATGGGCCAGGTGGCTCCTGCCAGGCCATGGCCATCCCTGGGGCATGGGGGTGGGTGGCCATGCCTGGCCATGCCACCCCCCAGCCTGCCCTTGCAGGAGAAGCTGCTGGAGGACAGCTACTCCCCTGTCATGCTGGCCAAGGCTGTGAAGAACACCAAGGAGCAGGAGCTGCTGCGCGCTGCTCACGTAAGGGCTGTCTGCAGCAGGACACTCCATCTCTGCCTTCCTGCCCCAGTTTCCATTCCTGATTCAATTGCTACCTGTCTCTCCCCCCGATTTGGGACACTGTCCCCACCCCTATTAAGGGTTGTCCCTGTCCTGTCAGCCCGAAGAAGAAGCAGGGGGAAGCTGGGGTGGGAAGTGGGGTGCTACTGTCCCCCTGCCTCCTGATTCCACCCTCAGGTTCGGGATGCAGTGGCTGTCATCCAATACCTGCTGTGGCTGGAGAAGATGGTCCCCCAGGGGCAAGTGGATGAGTTTACAGCAGCCCAGCACATCGATGCCCTCCGCCAGTCAGTGCTGCCCCTGTGGATCCCCCTGCCCAGGGTCGGGCAGCTGGGGACCCCCAGCATCCCCCTCCCTGCTGCCTTCCAGGGCCCAGGAGTACAGCTGTGGGCCCAGCTTCCAGTCCATCTCGGCCAGCGGGCTCAACGCGGCACTGGCCCACTACAGGTACAGCTCAGCCCTGGCTGGGCCAGCAGCACAGGTGGGAGTGGGACTCTGACACCCCCCCCTCCTGTCACAGCCCCTCCAACGGGAGCAGCCGGGTGCTGTCTGTGGATGAGATGTACCTTCTGGACACCGGAGGCCAATATCTGTGGGTAGCCCTTAACAAGGACCCCTCAGCCCCTCCCCGTGCCCCCAGGACAGGGTGGTGGCTCCCAAAGCCAGCATCACCCTGGTGACATCACCCCCTCACAGGGACGGGACAACGGACATCACACGGACAGTGCACTGGGGTGTCCCCACTCCACTCCAGAAGGTACCAGCCCAGCACCAAGGTCACCACCAGGGCTGGGTGTGCCCAGGGCAGAGGGTCTGGGCATCCCCCTCACCCACCTTGCCGTGCCCCTGATAGGAAGCCTACACCCGTGTGCTGATGGGGAACATCGACCTGTCCCGCCTCATCTTCCCACCCAACACGGCAGGTGGGTGCTGAGCCCTGCCTAGGACCCCCAGGCATGAGGAGGAGGAGGGCAAGGGGGTCCTCACTGGTTCGCTGCCCCCCACCCTGCCTTGTCATTCCCCAGGGAGAACAGTGGAGTCCTTTGCCCGCCGGGCACTCTGGGATGTGGGACTCAACTACGGCCACGGGACCGGCCACGGCATCGGCAACTTCCTCTCGGTCCATGAGTGTATGTGCTGCAGCACCGGTGCTGGGGACAGGGATGAGGAGAGGGGCTGCTCTGGGGCTTCTCATAGCCCAGCTGAGCCTCTTACTGCCAGCAGGTGTCCCACACCTGCAGGACGCTGCAGTTCTTGCCAGGGTGGCCCCACGGTCCTTGCCGTGGTGGCCACGTGGTGCTTGCCACGGTGACACCTTGGTCCTTGTCGGGGTGTTCCTGTGGCGCACGCTGTCCCCAGGAGCTGTCACCCTCTCCGTGTCCCTTGCAGGGCCTGTGGGTTTCCAGTCCAACAACGTGCCTCTGACAGCCGGCATGTTCACCTCCATCGGTACGTGCCCGCTGCCCCCGCCCCTGCCTCGGGCTCCTGGGGCTGGCCAGGGCAGGACGCAGCAGCTCTCAGCTCTCAGCCCTGCTCAGGGGCCACATCCGGCCTCTATGGGGTGGGTGAGATGGGCACGATGAGTTGGTGGGGTTCAGGACCCACCAGGCACCTTCCCTGAACCCCAGAGCCCGGGTGCTACCGGGACGGCGAGTTCGGGATCCGCATTGAGGACGTCGCCCTCGTGGTGGAGGCAGAGACCAAGGTAGCTCAGTGGGGCTGGGGGGGACACAGCGCTCAGGGGGCGGCATCAAGCTGGGGTTGGGGCACCCCCAGGGCTGGGGGAACCTACTGCCGTCTCTCTGTGGCAGCACCAGAGCGGGGAGGAGCCCTTCCTGACCTTCGAGGTGGTGTCCCTGGTGCCCTACGACCGCAACCTCATCGACCTCGACCTACTGTCACTGGAACAGGTACAGGGGTGCTCAGGACGGGGGGCTGGGGCACGGAGGGGGCGCCAAGGGAGCTGGGGGGTGGACGTGGTGGGAGACCATGACTGCAACAGGGTCAGGGTGAGTAAACAGAGCCAGGCAGAGATGGGTGGAGAGGGACAATGTGTGGGGCCAGGCACTGTGGAGGGGCCAGGGTGTGGAGCATCTGGATGGAGTTGGGCTAACGGGAGGGGGCAAGGTGGGCACGGAGCGGGGCAGGGGCCTGGGGCAGCCCCCCGCAGCCCTCTGTGGTGCCCGGCTGCAGATCCAGTACCTGAACGCCTACTA